ATTTGACTGGTGATAAGCTTTGTTTTGTTTTTTTAAATTCATAATATTGTTTATGTTATTGTTAGGTTTCTAATTTTTCTTGTATTGTGATTTTTGGAAAAGTATTGTATAAGAAATGCTGTTAATTTGAAAAATGATACCCAGAGGGTGATGCAATGATGTCATTAGACAATGAACTCCTCTTTTGGTCAGAATGCTGTGAAATTATGAATTTCAGCTATCATTAGAGACTTTTCATTATGGTTAAAAAATCTGTCACAAGCATGTAATTGGGTACATTTTGCTTTAAAATTAATAATGATCATTTAGTGTTTGGGAAAAGTATAAAGATTAGATTGTTTTTGCTAAGAACTAGAGTATATTTATACAAGATGGGATTTCAATGCTTCTATTAAGAAAAATGTCAAAAGGACAAGCGTCAGTTTGTATCCATAAAGTTTAAACTAGTTTTCTCCACATGAACCAATTACTAGAAGATCAAATTTAAGAGGCTGTGTTAGGCCTTAGCAAGTCACATTGTTTTATCACTAGCAGATTTTTGTGGCATTGCCTAGGGAATTCTGCAAGTGACTTGGAACCGGGGAAGTGGATCTATTAGGAGGAACATCCCCCCAGAACTGCTTTGGGAACAAGGCCTCTTCCAGAATTTCCAAGGAAAAACATGTCCAAGGACCAGGTGGCTACACGGGTCAGCTAAGACCGAAGGTGAAATATGCTCACTAAATGGACAGCAGGAACAAGACTGGTACTTAATAATGATGATCATTATGGTATTACTCGTGCTTTAATGTTTCCTGGTATTCATGTTGGCCTGCAGAGGCATATGCCCAAATTCAGGGCATTTATTGTTTATTGTTTGAAGATCAGAACCATTTCTTCTGCGACTTTTGGTTAATTAAAAGCATGTCTTCTATTAATATTAACCTCACCTGACCAAAATGTGACTCAGGGAATAATAGTGTTAAAGGAAAATTATTTTACATTCCTCAGGTAGAAGCCAAAGAGGAGTTTTAGCTCCCTAAAGTGACTTGGTTATCTATTAGTTCCCTTCGCTATGTGATTTCCCTGACTCTGAGTTTTATTGGTTTCCTTGGTGATATGTATATCTCCCTTCTCAACCAGCTTACTGTCAACCCTTTAAAAATAGTTTAATCTGCAACCTGGCTTAATAGAGTCTAATTAAATTTCTTTTCTTAGATGTATGTGATTATGACTCCGTTTAACTAAATTTGTTCAATTTTTATGACACTGAAGGAAGCATGGGATTATTGGGGTTTTTTGATATTTAATATTTTCCAATTATATATAAAAACAATAATATTCATTTTTTTTAACTTTTGAGTTCCAAATTCCCTCCTTCCACCTAGAATAGGCAAGCAGTTTGATATAGGTTATACATGCACAGTTATACGAAACATATTTCCATATTAGGCATATTGTGAAAGAAAAAGTCCAAGAAAAATTAAGTAAAAAAAAAAGTGTGCATTGATCTACATTCAGACTTCATCCGTTCTTTCCTGAGGCAGATGGCATTTTTCATCGTAAGTCCTTCAGAATCATCTTGGATCATTGTATTGATAATGTCTTTCATAGCTGATCATTGTACAATATTGCTGTTACTGTATATGATGTTTTCCTGATTTTGCTCAGTTCATTTTGCATCAATTCATGTAAGTCTTTCCAGGTTTTTCTGAAGTTCACTTGCTCATCATTTCTTATGGCACAATAGTATTCCATTACATTCATATACCACAATTTGTTCAGCCATTCCCCAATGCATGGGCATCCCCTCAATTTCCAATTCTTTCCTACCACTGAAAGAGCTGCTATAAATATTTTTGTACATATAGTCTTTTTTCCTTTTTCTTTGATCTCTTTGGAATACAGACCTAGTAGTGGTATTGTTGGGTCAAAGGGTATGCACAGTTTTGTAGACATTTGGGCATAGTTCCAAATTGCTCTCCAGAATAGCTGGGTCAGTTCACAATTCCACCAATAGTGCATTAGTGTCCTAGTTTTCCCACATCTTCTCCAACATTGTCATTTTCCTTTTCTGTTATGTTAGCCAATCTGATAAGTGTGCAGTGGTACCTCAGAGTTGCTTTAATTTGCATTTCTCTAATCAATAGTGACTTTTTTTCATATTTCTATAGATAGCTTTGATTTCATCTGGAAACTGCCTGTTTATATCTTTTGACTATTTGTCAGTTGGGGAATGATTTGTATTCTTATAAATTTGACTCAGTTCTTTATATATTTGAGAAATGAGGCTTTTATCAGAGAAACTTGCTATAAATTTTTTTTTTTACATTATTACTATGGAGGAAGCTAGGTGACACAGTGGATAGAGCACCGGCCCTGGAATCAGGAGGACGTGAGTTCAAATCCGGTCTCAGACACATAGCACTTATTAGCCGTGTGACTCTGTGCAAGTCACTTAACCCCCAATTGCCTCACCAAAAAAAACAAAACCAAAAACATTATTACTATGTATTTCCCTCCATCCTATTTTTCCATTTATCCTTCTTTCTCTCCTTTCACTCCATCTCTCTTCAAAAGTGTTTTGCTTCTGACTGCTGCCTCCCTGAATCCACCTCTCTTCTATCAGGTCCCCTCTCTTATCCCCTTCCCCTCCTACTTTCCTGTAGGGTAAGATAGAGTTCTATACCCAACTGTGTTATTCCCTTTTTGAGTGAATTCTGATGAGAGATTCAAGCATTATCCACCTCCATCTTTCCTTCCACTGTAAAAGCTCTTTTTGTGCCTCTTTTATGTGAGATAATTTACCCCATTCTACCTTTCCCTTCCCCCCTTTCCCAGTGCATCCATCTTCTTGCTCCTTATTTTTAGATAATCATCCCTCTGTCACCTCCTAATTTTAATTTTTTAGATATCATGCCATCATATTCAACTCACACCCGTGCCCTCTGTCTTTGTATACTCCTAAATGCCCTAGTAATGATAAGGTTGTTAGTAGTTACAAGTATCAGCTTCCCATGTAGGAATATGAGCAGCTTAACATTATTGAATCCCCTATAATTTCTCTTTTCTGTTCACCTTTTTATGCTTCTCTTGAGTCTTGTACTTGAAAGAAAAATTTTCTATTCAGCTCTGTTTTTTTCATCAGGAATATTTGAAAGTCCTCTATTTCATTAAATGTTTATTTCTTTCCCTGAAGGATTATACTCAGTTTTGCTGGGTAGGTTCTATCCTTTGGAGCCAAACTTAACAAGTTCAGTGCCTCTTCCACATAACCTATCATATGCTCAGAGATGGCTATAGTGTCTTCCCAAGTCTTCTATAGATTAAATAACTCCAAACCTGTGACCAGATGTTTATATGGCATGGACCCAAAACCCTTCACCACTGTGGATTACTCTCTTCTGGAACAAATTCAGCATCTCAACATCCTTAAAATGTGCTGCCCCAGAACTAAAACAAATATTTTAACTGTGGTCTGACCAGAAAGAGTATAGTAGGACTATTGCTTACTCATTCCTGGAAACTGCTCCTCTTTTTTTTTTTTAATATACTTTAGATTTCATTACATTTTTCAGCTGCCCAGGTGCTCTAGTACTCATAGCAAGCTTGCAGTCCAACTCCCCCCCCCAAGAAAAAAAAACCCACACCTTTTCCAAATTACTATGAACCCATGCTACCCAATCTTAGAATTTGGAAGATTTTTTTTTTAAATCAAATGCAAGACACAACACTTATTCCTAAAAACACTCAAGCTTTGAAGAGCCATAAAACGTTCTAGACTGTGGATCTTGATGAATCCTGACCCATCATCCAGGATGTTCATAGTCCCAGATCTGATAAATATGGCATCTGTCTTTACCAATATTCAAACGGCTCAAGAACCTGGAGCACTTTACTGCAGGGCTGCCAATATAACGTCAAATAATTAATGACAACCTTTTGCAACTAACTGTGCAACCTATTCAGGATCTATTTAACTATGCTATTGTCAAGGCCACATCTCTGACTTTTCCACATTCCCCTGCTGTAGCAGTTTAGAAATCCCATCATAAAAGGAAATACGGTAGTTAGCATTTACTTTTATGGTTTGCAGAGCACTTTACACATACCTCCTTAGATACTCACAATAACCCTGTGATGTAAATGCTCTTATTATCCCCACTTTATAGATGAAGAAACTGGGGCTAAGAGAAAGTAACTTACCTGAAGTCACAGAACTAGTAACTATTTGAGGCAGGATTTGACGTTTTCCCAACTTGAAGTCCCGTACTCCATCCACTATGCACCTTAACTGTCTAGAATTAAGTTCAATCCAGTATAATCCATAATTTGTTAATTAAAAAAAAATTTAATAGACATGTTACATCATCTTTATTTCCAAAAAATATGCTTTCTGCTTCCACAACCAGAGCCAGCTTTTAAAATGACTAGAGGGAGAAAAGAAACCAGTAGAGAAAAGCCAAGCAAACCATCTCTGCCCCCCCAAAAAAACCCCACAAATAGTAAATGCAAGGCTCCACGTAAGCAATGTCATGCCACTGCAAGGAAGGGAAAGAGTCACATTTTGTCATTCTCCAAGGCCCAGAGGGGTAGTGGGTAACACAGCATTCAGTTTGGATTTTTTTTTTTTGGCTCTTCCCACTTAAATTTTTGTAGTCACCGAGTAGGGTGTTTTCCTGTTTACTTCACTATGCATCAGTTCATAAGTCTTCCTCTATTTCCTTAAATTGTTTACTATATTCTTCAACAATACAGTAATATTCCATTTTATTCATATGTCACCATTTGTGTAGTCATTCTCCAATTTTGGTTTCTATTTTGGTGTACCTTGTCCTTCATGAAGATATTTATGACCTTCAAAGTATTCCAATCCAATATGAGTTTTCAAGTGTCTATTAAAAAGCATCCCTTCTAACAAGCCCTTTCTACATCCACTGACTTCAAAGGTTTGATGGTAGTGTTAATTCTGATAGGTAAGAAAGTGTGCCCTCAGTTGAAGCTTTCCCCACATTTTATATTCAAAAGGGTTTAACTCTAGTATGAGTTCTCTGATGTCCGGTAAGCATTTGCTTTGTGCTAAAGGATTTATCACATTCATTACAGTCAAAAGGTTTTTCTCCAGTATGAATTCCCTGGTGATAAACAAGGTTTCCCCTCTGGTTGAAATACTTTCCACAGTCATCACATTCAAAAGGCTTCTCTCCAATAAGGATTCTATGATGATCAATGAGATATCTCCTGTGGCTAAAGGATTTCCCACATTCATTACATGCAAGGGGTTTTGCTCCAGTGTGAGTTATTTGGTGTATAATAAGGTGTCCCTTCTCACTGAAGGCTTTCCCACATTCAGTACATTCATAGGGGTTTACTCCAGTATGAGTTCTCTGATGTGTAATAAGATAACCTCTCTGCCTGAAGTCTTTCCCATATTCCTTCCATTCAAAGGGCTTAATTCCAATATGACTCCTCTGATGTGTTATGAGTTTGGACCACCAACTGAAGCCTATCCCACATTCATTACATGCAAAGGGTTTCACTCTACTATGAGTTCTCTGATGGGAAATAGGGTTTTCCCTCTGATATCTTTCCCACATTCATTACACTCAAAGGGTTTTTCACCAGTACAAGTTCTCTGATGATCAATAAAGCAACCTCTCTGGCTGAAGGCTTTTCCACATTTCTTACACTCAAAGGGCTTTGCTCCAGTATGGATTCTCTAATGGGTAACTAGGTTTGTCCTCCAACACAAACCCTTGCCACATGTGTCAGTTGCAAAAGATTTTACTCTAGTTTGAGTTTTCTGATGGTAAACAAGATTTCCCTTTTGATTGAAGCCTTTCCCACATTTATTACATTCAAAGGGTTTTACTCCAGTGTGAGTTCTCTGATGGGTAACCAGGTGTGTCCTCTGGCTGAAGCCTTTTCCACATTCCCTGCATAACGGTGTCTCTCCAGTATGTGTTCTCTGATAGGTAACAAAATGTGCCCTCTGGCTAAAGGCTTTTCTACATACATTGCATTCAGAAGGTTTCAATCCAGGATGAGTTCTCTGATGGGTAAACAGGTTTGCCTTCTGGCTGAATGCTTTCCCACATTCTCTAAACTGAAAAGGCTTTCCCTCATTACATTCAAAGAATTTTACTCCAGTATGAGTTGTCTGATGGACAATAAGGTTTTCTTTCCAATTAAAACCTTTCTCACATACATTACAATCAAAGGGTTTTACTCCTGTGTGAGTTGCCTGATATCTAATGAGATTTGCTTTTTGGCTGAAGCTTTTCCTACATTCACTATATGCAAACTGTTTTTCTACCATATGAGTTCTCTGATGGGTCAGAAGGTATCCTCTTTGCCTCAAGGATTTCCCACATTCATTACTTTTAAAGGGTTTAACTCTAGTAGTAATTCCCTTCTGTTTGGTCAAGCTTCCCATGAAGGCTTTCCCATAATTATTACATTTTCTCCCATACAAATTCTTAGATGTCCAGTAAGTTTTGATCTTCCGACAAAGGCTTTTCCACATTCACTAAATTCATGTAGCTTTTCTCCAACACGTACCCTATGAAATTTAACTTGGTCTGAGGGGTAATTAAAAGGCTTCTTGCATGTGTTATATGTAGCAAAGATCTTCCCTAAGGAGACTGTATTACATGCAAGTAAGTTTGGAAAATCCCTAACATTTTCGCTAAGTATCTTCTGTTAATGGAGACTTCCTCTCATAGCCCTTCTCCATAAGGCATGAAAACCTGACCCCAAACTCAGATTTCTCCCAAAAGTATTACAAGGAGGTACAAGATTCTTATTCAGTTTTCCTATGAGTGACCGGAACCTTTCTGGGTCGCCTCATCTGGTCACTCTTCTCTTTTACAAAGTGAACAGCACATTCCTTGGCTTCCCTCACCCTGGATTGCCAAAGCTGACGTTCCGGCACTCTTTACTTAGGTGATGCTTCTAGGCAGCTCTGCTGTATCAGACTTGAGCTCTTCATCTCCAACTTGGTTTTCTGACTCCAGAAATTTAAAAGAAATTTAACAAAGGATGTCACTAGCCCCGTTGCTGTGCTGATAAAAAGGAACAAGTTGAGAACAAGCTCTAGTGTGTGTCTCTCCCATCAAAGAGGAAAGTGCTCAATTTAGACAAGACAACAACAAAAACAACAACAAAGCCGACATTTATAGAATGCCTACTAAGTGACAGGTAATACACTAAGCAATTCTTACAAACATTACCTCGCTTGATCCGTACAGTAATTCTGCAAGGTAGAGGCTGTTATTAGCCCCACTTTACAGGTGAACAAACTGAGGCAAAAAGAGGTGAACTGACTTGCCCAGGGTCACACGGCCAGTTAGATTTGCAGTTAGATGCAGCTGGATTTGAACTCAGATCTTCCTAACCCAAAACTGTTTAGGGGTAACTGACACCAAACACACAAGGAGAAAGTAATAGGAAACCGAGCTGCCCAGGAGTAAATGGATTATACCCCAGGGTAATGAAAGTACTTATAAATGTCATTAATAACAACATGCAATGAAAACCAGCATTTTCTGGGGAATGGATTATTGGAATACACAAAGTAAGGGGAAAAATTGGCTTAAAAATTAGGCAAATAGAAACAACTTGGAATCTATGCAAACAAAACTGATGTATGTAGATGATGAACAACTGGAGAACGTTTTAGAATTACTGGGCTACCTCGAAACTGTGAAGAACTAATATGACCAATATATTTCCCCAAAAATAGTCCTTTTTTAAAAATTGCCAAAAGTACAGAAAGTAAAGAAGCAGATTATGTGCATAATTATTGACTACTCAAGGGAATACCAAATTTCACTCACTTGCATATTCTTATCATTCTTCAATAATATAAAACTACGATTTTAAAAGAAGTTCTGAATGTAATGGAACATTAGTGTGTTGTAAGAACAGTGATGAACACAGAGAATAAGAAGTTACGCAGACTGATAGAAAGTGAAGTGGGACTACAAAAACAACAGACACAATAATTGCCACAATGGTAATGGAAAATCAAAATAACTGGCCTTTGAAATAACAATGCGCAAAGAAGAGATCCGAGAAGACAATTCCCCCTACTTCTTTACTGGGATGGAGGACTAAGGGTGTGCAAAACTGCATGGGTCAGACTTTCCTGATATATATGTTGGTTTTCCTGAACTAGTTTTTCTTCTACTTTTTCATTCTTTCTTATAAGAATTGATTGTCTGGCAGGGGGAACAGGAGAGAAAAACTGGGAAAAGTAGGGACATAAATATGAAAGATATACCAATAACAACTTACTTTAAAAGAGAAATGACTATGAGGAATTGAGAGAAACATGAGATTTATATGAATTGATAAAAAGCAAAATAATCAGGAACAAAAGAGCAATATACTAAATGGTAATAAAATCAATGAAAAGATCTCTGAAAGGAAGCCAAAGATCCCAGAACAGATCATGAAATATAGCTACCACCCAGCATGGCAAAAAGGTGGGGGACTGGGGCAGCTAGATGATACAGTAGATACAGCACCAACTCTGGATTCAGGAAGACCTGAGTTCAAATCTGGCCTCAGAAACTTGACACTTACTAGCTGTGTGACCCTGAGCAAGTCACTTCACCCCATTGCCCTGCCAAAAAAAAAAATGGGGGACTATAAATATCAGAATTTGTCTATATTATCAGAAGCAGGCACCATAGTTAATTTTTATTTAATTGTTACTTTTTGTCATAAAAGAAGGTTCAATGAGTAGTGGGGAATTTTTCTCCCTCAGAAATGCATGTGATTTTATTAAAGACAAAATCAATCAAATAACATCAATTTGACTTGCATAAGGTTATCTACGGCACAATAGCTGGAGCTATAAAATAGTACAACGTTTTTGGAAAGGAAGAAAGTAACAGGCAATAAATAAAGTTACAAAACTATTCATAGCTTTAGACCTAGTGATGCTGTGGCTAAGATATACTCCAAAGATGTTACTGATAGTATAAAAACAATTTGCCTGAGAGAAATAATTATCAATAACCAATTATGAGGCGATCCAGGCTTTTCCCAGTCTTATTTCATTGTCTGAAGCCTAGCCTTTGAAGGACATTACAATCCAAAAATTTACCCCACCCAGACCATCTCATCTAGGACTGAATTCCTGTCTCAGGTTTGCTGTGTTCTACTCAGGTTTGGTGGGGACAAATTCTTTGATTAGATTGCCTAAGGCTGGGGGTAATTTAGAAATAAATGACAAAATCAAAGTTACACTCCCCAAGCCCTTCATCAGAATAGGTCTACCTCTCACAGTAATATTCATTCTTTCATTAATCATTAACTAATCAGAGTTGATTGCCACCCTCAGGAACACTCTTCCAAAGGCCTATAAACTGTGAGCCCACTGCCAGGATTGCTCTTCAGCATTTGAGAGTGTCACTAACCATTTTATTAATAAAATATTAGCATTATTAATAAAATGATTACCTCAAAACTATGTCTCTTGAACTTTTTAAACATCACACTTTCTACATTCTACTTATCTCGGTGGACTTATTTATAATGGAAAATACCTAGAAATAATCATGTGGCAAAAATTGGGAATGGCTACATAAATTGTTGTATGAACTGGATTTTATGCAAATGGGCCATAAGAAATGACAAATAAGACTAGGGGTCTGTAGGAGAAATCATTGTCCATCCTCACAAAGATCTGGCCACCAACTGAATTTGAGAAGATATAGTAGCGTCCATGCTTTTCACTCACTCACCTGGACAAAGGCTTCTGGGGCCTCCTCCCTTGGGCCTCCATCATGGTGCTCCTGTCTCTAACTGGGAGAGTGTATCCAGATTGGAAACTGGAAGCCCTAGACACAGGGACGTAAATGGGAAAGGTCTAGTAATAAAAAGCAAAGAATTCATTTCTATCCTAGGCAGTTAAGAAAGCACTGGAGGGGTCCCAAAGCATACCGTTTAGTACTCCATGAAGGATGAGTCACTGATGTAATGTAGGCCCCAGAAAGAGCACTGCTGCATTTGACCCGCTCCATGAAACCTTTTCGTGTACATCCCATTTGAACTTTGCATGTCTCAACCAATCAATAGGCACTGATTAAGCACCCCTGCTGTATGCCAGGCACTGTGGTAGGCAGCAGGGGCACAAAGAAAAATGGCGAATAATCACTGGGCACAAGGAGTTATTTTCCATAGAGTAAAATTATATCTGAGCATTTAAGTAGATTTAAAATGGAGAAAATAGATACAAGGTGATTTGGGGGAGGAGGCAGCTGTGGGCCCCAGAATGGCCTCATGATCCAGGAGAGGCAGGAGAGGAGCAAAGGCTTAGAAAGAGGAGGGGGACGTGTCCTGGTCATGACGAAAAGCATGAAAGACCCTTTAGCTGGAACACAGGAAAAGAGCAAGAATGCTGGCCAGACATAGGACAGTGCTGAGTGCAAAACAGGGAACTGGACACTTGGTTCTAGAAGCAGCCCCTGGAGCATTCTGAGTATGGCAGCATCACAGCAGCCGCATATGACACCTGAGATCTTCCCTGGGACTCTTCTTCTTCTTCTTCTTTTTCACACTCATCAAACTTTCACTAAGCACTGACTGTGTGCAGAGAATGCTGGAGGAAATGCAAGGTTTAACTCAGATATGGTGCCCCCTGGCATCATCCAAACTAGAAAGAATAGAATCCACACAAACAGGAGCTCCAGGCAAAGTCCCTAGAAAAAGCCCTGAGGAAGAGGGGAGGAAAAGCTTTCCAAAGGATTTGAGTCATCTCCTACAGGACGGGGCCAAGGAACCCACGGAAAGACAATCTGTGCAAAGCAAGGGCCTTTATCGTGGGGACAGAAGCATTCTGTCTGACGGTCAACAGAGGCTTTGGGACCCCTTCCACCTGGCACGTAGTCTTGAGTGCTCTTGTACCATAGGCCAACTCAGCTCAGTATTTCAGACTGCCCACAGTCTGCACCAAGGGAGACTGCCAAGATTCCCTGGGGGACAACACTCCAAATAGTAATTCATCATTAGCTACATCATAGCAATCGTTTTCCATTCCTGAACGCTGCACTCTGGGCAGACTGACTTACATGGCAGGATCCCACGTCATCATGTTTAGAAATTCTCCCCATTTCCAAACCCTAATGGCAGATCACCGCTTTCTTTGTACTACGACCTGGAATAAAAGTCATCTCCCCCATTCCCTAATGTTACAAATTCCATTTATTAACTACCTAAGATGGGCAAAACATTGCACTAAGTCCTAAGGGAGCTATTTCCTCCAAGACCTGTGACCTGTAAAAAAAATCCTTTTTATCAGCATTCTCTAAGGCCCTACAACTCAAGATATCTAGACTAAGATATATAGTATGTATATATACGTGTGTGTGTGCATCTGTGTATATACATGTGTACGAATATACATATACATGCACATATATATAT